CTCCCTCGACGCCACCAACAACCACCAACATCTCCGATTCCATCGACTAGTTATGTCTTATTCTTTCATTTTTTCTTTGTCATTCTACCCACCCACAAACCCTCTTTCCCTCCCTCTACTCTCTCGACGAAACCACTACTATCACTCACCACCCCTTCCTCCTCTCCTCCAACAAGATAGAAACACTAGAACCCCTTGGCCCACAGCCACCACTACCACTACAACAATCCCTTTTTTTCTTCATTTACTCTCTGCCAACCTACTACTGGTAGGTGTTTGTAGTATTGCTTCAATGAGGTAAGAGCAACTCCAACCCTGCTCATCAAAATAGCTACTTAAAATATATTTAAATATTGAATTCTCTATTTTTGTTAGCCACTTTTTAAAATTCACTTCAATCATTATCTCTATTTTAGCTAACAATTTCAACTAACTTTTAATAATATAATTTAAAAATTCCACATGGCGTAACATGTAAACGCCATAAATGATGACAAAGTATGATGACGTGTTGTGCCACGTCATCAAATTTTAAATTTTACAACGGTCATACTTACAATGGTCATATTTTTGAAAATATATAAATAGGACCTCCCCCTTCTCATTGTCATATATCTTAAATTTATTTTATTGGTATTGCACTCATATTTATTTGTTATGGCTTGTGATGGTAAATTGAAGATGATTCTTAATGATTTTGACTCCGATGATGAGTTGAAGATGTTAGCAATTACTACTATGACAATGGAGAAACTCAATACTGAGAATAGCTCCGCAATATGCCGTGGTTCTATTTAAGGTCATTTTGTTATTTTTTGCAATTGAGTTGAAGGGCCTAAGAGACTTTATCGCCATTATTTTGCTGAATCACCTACCTATCTCCCAAATTTATGTCGGAGGAGGTTTCAAATGAATCGTTCTCTTTTCGTTCGTATTCTATCCATGGTGGAAGTTTATGATCCACATTTTGTCCAAAAAAAGAGATGCTCTTGGAAATATTGGCTTGTCTCCCCTTCAAAAGATGACTGTCGTTAAAAAAGAATGCTTGTCTATAGAGTTGCAGTAAATTCTGTTGATGATTATGTGAGGACCAGCGAAAGCACCACAATAGAAAATCTGCAAAGATTTGTATCAACCATAGTAGCAATTTATTCTGATGAGTAACTCAGGTCACTAAACAACGCTGATATTGCTAGATTATTAGCAATCGATGAGAGATGTAGGTTTCTTGGGATTCTAGGTAACATTAACTGCATGCATTCGAGGTGGAAAAATTGTCTAACAACATGGAAAGGTATGTACTCTGGTCATGTCTATGAACCAACAATTATTTTAGATGTGGTGGCTTCATATGATCTATAAATTTGATATACCTTTTTTGGGTTACCTAGATCCCACAAATGATATAAATGTGCTAGAATGCTCTTTTATTTTTACTCTTTTTTCGAAAAGTATGGCTTTTTCGATCAATTACTCTGTCAATGGAAACAATTATATTATGGGATTTTATCTTGTTGATGGTATATATCCAAATTAGGTCACATTTGTCAAAATAATTCTATCTCCAAGAGGCAATAAGTAAATATATTTTGCACAAGATCACAAGCAAGCCAGAAAGGATGTTGAGAGAGTTTTTGGAGTGTTCCAAGCACGATTTGCTATAGTTTGTGGACCAGCACGTTTCTGGAAACTTGAAGTGTTTAAGGATATTGTGAAGGCATGCATAATATTATATAACATGATTGTCAAGGATGAGAGAGACGGTAATAAAATGGATCTTAGTTATGATGCATCAGATGAAATTCCTACTCCTACATTGATATTCGAATGAAGTTCATAACTGCTCAAATTTATTTATACTCAACATTGCATAGTGATAGAGACACTCATTCTAGACTCCAAACTGATCTAGTCGAGTACCTGTGAATTATGCCATAATGTTTAAATATTCGTAAGCATGCATAATATTACAGTACTTGTTTGTTGTACTACTACTCAAAAGTTGTTAGTCTATAAATAAGAAAGAACTACATTTTCTTGCCCATGATTTCTATTTGATGGCACTTAAAATATTTAGCTTGAATCATAAGCATGGCACTCGTGTCCATCGGTATTATTCTCTCTTCTTCCTTTAATTGTTTGATTTGTATATTTCCTTTATCATGATCTAGTATCTCTTGTTCAACACTCAACCGCTTTTTATCATGAGCTAGTCTCTCTTGTTCTTGAAGATATAATTTTTCCATGAATTCGACTTTTTCCTCTGTTAACATCTTTTTCTCCTCCTTCGATTCTTCAAACATTTCACGAAATAGGTTGAACTTGAATTATCGTCTTTAAAGAGTTTGTTCTTTGGCTTTTTTGCTCATTCTTTCGCAGTCTTCCTTCTAGTTAGCCTCTCCAATCCCCCAAATGAATCACTGTCGTCTCATTTGTTTATCGATTCTGGTGTTGAAGGATTAGAGCTGCTAGGAGTTGCACTACCTTTTATTTTTTGCTTCTTAGATTGAAAATCTTCCATCTATTTTGGTTGATACCGTAACTCATTCCAACAATGTTCAAATGAAAAAGAGCATTTATGCAGTTTCTTATACACATTCTTTGCATCACGGATCTAAAAATTATACAATAATACTATGTATCGTAAAAGAAAAATGTCATATTTTCACACTTGTAATTAAAATGCACTCATACCTTGTTTTTCTCAGTTAGACCACTTTGATTCAACCTTTCAATTTGGTTAAAGCAACCACAAAATTTATTGGTGACTAGTTGAATTGTTGACCAACGATTCATCAAAAAAACTTAATTGCGATTACAATCTAACTCGGGTTTATATTTGTTGAAGTACTCTCAAACCCTTCGTCAATACGTTTTAGATTTTTGCTCATTTTCATGCACCACGTCCACGCTAATATTAAGCCAACCCGAGATTAAAACTAAGTCCTTCTCAACTGTAAAGTTGCCGCCTTGAACCTTTTTGGTGGTAAATTCTATTTGAGGTGATAGTGGTAAAGAATGACCTATTTGGTCTATTGATTGAGTGTTAAACTCATCTAAGTTTGTTCCTTCATTCTAGAGATTGGTGAAGTAATATCTATGTTCAAATGGTTCCATACGTAATGTCTAGGATTCAACCCAAAACATACATTATTCATGTAATTCAACCCAAAGTATAATATAACAATAATTCTAATCAAATTTCAAATAGAATCCAACCCAAAGCATAAAATATCACTGATGTCAATTTATTCCATAATCGCAACAACATGAGCAGTGATGTCAATTTAAAACTTTGAAAACTCTTTGAAATATTATCACCATAGATGTTTGCGTATACTCATACCCAAAATAAACACAACATGGTCATCATTAGCCCAAATATAAAAAATCAGTAGAACATTTGCATACACCCATTCAGTAGAACCTCCAAATGAATTACCATATAGTTCAGACCCATTCAAAAAAGACAATAACCATTCAAAAAAAAGCCAAAAACCATAAGAATTGAATTAAATATCTCGGACCTAATTCTTTTTTTTTTTGCTGGTTCTCAGTCCTAATTCAAAATAGCCAAAAAAAACCCCAATTTGGCAAGAGAGTGAAGGAAGACATACTTAGGGGTAGCAGCTTCGCCTGTGCGATAGTTTGTGTTTGTTGTGCGGTGGTAAGTGTTCGTGTCATTTTGTGAGTGGCAATGAGTGTATGTGGTAGGGAGCAAAAATAGAAAGATTGGAGGAAGGAAGACATACCTGGTAGGGAAGGAGGCAGTAGCGACTAAAGAGAGAGAGAGTCAAGCAGCAAGTGGTGAGCAATTTGGCCTCTTTAGATCTGGCTAGGATGAAGGCCACCTAGATTTTGGCAAGGAGGATGGCTAGTGGGTTGGAGTTGAATTTTTGAGAAAATAGCTAAAAGGAAAGAATGGCAAGCAAGGTTGGAGTTGCTCTAAGTATGTGTATTTATATATTTATTTCAAGATTTAGTCTTTCACAAACACCCTAACCATCACTCTCACCCTCACACATACCCCAACAACTCACCCTCATTGTTTGCCTTCTCTCTCACTCACTCACACACACACCCTGCAACTCACCAACGATAAATACTCACCTAGTGCCAATACAGAATTTGGAAATTAGTTCTCTGATTTTTTTTTTGTGCATTTAAGTTTTCAGTTATGTTCTAAACTAAATTTTTATTTCTACATTGTTGATGTGATAATTTTGGAGACTTTAGCGTCTCTCTTGACCATGTAACCACTGTTAGCTGTATTTTTCTAAATTGCCTGAAAATATAATGACTTTGTCCCCACGTGTTTTGATGAAGATAAGTGACTTGCTTGCTTTCAAATTTCTTTTTGAATTGATCCTACATCATATTTGTGACTAAAGGCAAATGATTTTTGAAATTTTAGATTGTCTATATTTAGTATCAAATTTATGCACATAATTGATCATGAGATGTGAGGTGGTTTTTTGCTTCTAGTACAGCTCTGGGTAATTTTTAAGTCCTCAAATTTTTTATTTTTTATTTTGTGTTACGTAGCTTCTTCACGGTTTATTCCTAGATTCATTTGGATACATCTTCTTCCCTCTAATAAACATGCAGAAGCATAATTCAGTCATTGTAAAAGAGAATTCAAGTTCATATGGGTTCATCTGCTATCAACTTCAGCAAGAGCTGGTATTTTGATTGGGTTAATCATTAGATATGTCTATCATCTTTATAGCCTATTAAGTTTGCTTCGTGTTTTTACCTTGCACATTGATGCTTCTGTATTGTTGTTAGCTTCACTTGGATATAGCATAAGTTTACCTTTTTGTTTTGCTTATAATTAGTTCCCATTTCATAGCAGTTAAAGCCAATTGATTTATGATACTTAAAGAATCATGCTTGCTCAAAGGTAATCCTATCTATCGTCTTTACTCCATAAAAACATATGGTTTACTCATTATTTAATCACTAATTGGTTTTAAATGTGTTTGAGTGGTATAGGTTACGAAGACGGTAATGGTATGATAAGAGCGCAAGCATTGGGCATTTTCCTTTGGTCCTTAATCCAGTGGTGGATCTAAGGAGACCAACTGGTTAGTTGATTTTTTATTCATTTTACTTTGTAATTGGAAAACTAATTGGTGTAATTTGAAGGTTCCCATTTATTGGGGGCTGGAAAGGTGATCTATAAAGTGCATAGTCTAATTATATATTCATTCTATTTATTTTTCATATTAAATGAAATTAGAGGGAAAATATCCAAGGCATGTGTTTGAGAAATATGAATATTAAGATTTCATTTGTTTGCTGAAATAACCAGGGGACAGAAGGTGTTTTGGAGCGTTGCTGCAAAATACTGGGTGACAATTATAGTAGTTTTAGAGTTTGTTATCAAGTCTATAAAACTTTCGAGTCAATTTTTCATGGCTTTAAATGCAAGACAATTCTAACATCTGAATTCATATTCGATGTAAAAGTTTATTATTTGATTCATCAAGAAAATGACAAATTATTTATTTGCCTTATTCATGTTCAATTAGATTTACTAATTTGAGTTCATATAAGTCTTGATTTTAATCCACTTGGTGAATCAGATCAATTGATTAATTTAACCTTTTATTGCACAAATAGAGAGGATAAGCTCATAAACACCTTGACTTCTATTCTTTGGTGTGACCATAGCTTTGAGGTTAATTGAACTGCCATAGAGGCTCCTTTGTTTAATTGTTGGTGAGATATTAAATTTAATTATTATTGAAAGGTTTGTTTAATTAGAATTTTAGATGTCAATATTGGTTGGGGTTGTGAACAAATTTGTGGGGTTATGGTATGTGGGATTATCTTTTTGTTTGACTACTTAGGCATGTTCTGCTAAGCAAGATACACAAGGGTATGAAATGTGGTTTTCTTTAACTTCTGTATATATTTTTTTTGGTCAAACTTTTTTCATGTGTTGGATAGGATGATTTTGAGTACATATTTTACTTTTAATTTAGAAATTTTCATAGATGTAAATTGTGGATGAATGAATGATTTGTATTTAAAAGGGGAATTTATTTGGGTTTGATTTGTGACCCGTGTACTAAACATGATCGGGTTGATTGCGAATTGTGTCAAGCTGGATACAATTTGTTTATTAAGTGTGTTACATGGTTCATACTCCGATTATTGGTATTATGAGCGAATTGTATTCGTATCGGGCCATTTTGAAGTGATTAATTAGGTAGTTCATGTTAGGGTTGAGAGATTTTTGTTATGAATCCAAGATAACACAACACGACACGGTTTGATTGTTATCCCTACTTCAGGTATTGTGAGTGTTTAATTTTTTCGAATATATTTTCAGTTTTCTAAATGTATTATATTTTATGAATTTTAATTTAGAAAATGTCAATATTCGATCAAATAATGACTTTTGTACAACGTTATAAAGAAACAAAATTCATATAGTCGACCTCAAATAATTGAAATTAAGATTTTATTAAGTTGAGTTGATATTTGATCAAATTATGTTTCGAATCGAATTGTTCATATGCATAGAAAAATAGAATGAATTGGGTGATTATTTGATGAAATTAGTTAACTAAACTCTAGCTGCTTTAAGTTATTTGAATTGAATTAAATTTTAAGATCAAATTTTATAATTTTAAAGACCTCGGAAATGAAGTAAAAGTCAAGGTTCGACTAATATTTGTGTCATAGTTAAATCTATCAGAGTCCAATTTGAATCCAATCCTTCCAGAATCCTACCTTAAAGAAATTAAAGTTTCTTTTATTATTCTACTATGGTTTTTAAACTTTGTTCCCACTTTTATTGTATTTTTAGATAATATCTAGTCTATTATTAGTTATAAAAAAAGCGTATTTGAAAAATATATACTCAATATAAACAAATTTTCATGTAAATAATGAAAATTTAAAACTAAGTTACACATGAAAATAAAGTTTTTAAATCTCATTGGTATTGGAATTGATTCAAATAAATTATGTGGGCGTGGGAATTCAAATCACTATGGTTAAACGAGTAGTAAATATTTGTGTAACAGTTATATTACATTAATGGTATCACGTGGTGATTTTTTTTGAAATTATTCTTAATTTTTTTTAACAGCCAAGGATGTTTAGATTAATTTATGCTTAAAAACATGTCATTTATATCGGGATTAACTTATTTATAAGAAATAAATTATTTATAGTCTGATTTCAAGAGATTATCAAACTCAAGAAGTCTGAATTTATCACTAGACCAACTTGAAGTTCAATTCGCCCTTTTACCTTTATAAATAATATTAATTATATTGGAGGTCCTCAAAGTATGAGATTTATCTCATTTTGATCTATAATATTTCAATTGCATTATTTTGGTCTCTGAAATATTAAATATGTTTTTGTATGATTTTTTAAGTCGACAGCGTCTAAATTGCTAATAATTTTTTATCATAAATTTGTTACGTGATACTTAAATATGAACAGAAAAATAATTTGAATAACTTTTGACTAAATTTTTATTTAAATTTTGGTTAACTATCTACTCAAATTATGCATTTTTAATTATGAATTATCTAAATTTTAGTCAAAAGTTACCATATTACACTTTTTTGACAAGAGTTTATCCAAATTTTATTTAAGAGCTATCAAAATTATTTTTTATCTATATTTAGGTATTATGTGTGACAAGTTTATGATAAAATTTTTTTAGCAGTTTAGACGTTGTCTGCTTAAAATGATGCAATTAAAATATTGGAGACTAAAATAAAATAAATTTTATACTTGAAGATCTTAAGTGCAATTAACCCTAATAAGTTTATTTTTTGCAGTTTAAACTTTAAATTCCACTTCGCAACGGTCAATTTTTCAATTCAAAATACACACCCCAGGGCCCAGACTTTCCTAATGAGAAGACCATAAGAATATCACGAGCCAGAAACCCTCAGAAAGCTTGGCCAAAATATTGTACTGGGAGGGATAGAGCTCAGTCTAAACTCAAAGCCCTATAAAGTTTAAGAAGAAGAAGAACCCCTCAATGGTAATGGCAATGGCGATTTTTGAAGAACAAGGTTCTGCAAGATTTCAAGATCACTGTGAAGAAGACTACAATGAAAATGGTGAATCAGACACTGATACATTTGATTCCGATGATTCACAAGAAGATCCAACCTTCGATATTATTGAGGAGGCACGATCTAGCTTATCAAATCTCTCAATCAAAAAGGAATCCAAGTCTCGGTTAGTATTTCGAACGATTAGGGTTATATTTACTCCGATAAGATTGTGAAATGTTGATGTTCTACGTTGATAACCTGCTTCTTGTTGTTAAATCATTTGGGTATATTACCCAATAAAAACAGCATTTTTAAAATAATGGATGAGGGGATTGAGGGAGACCCAGATGTTAAAGAAATGAATGTGCCAGAACTTGATGAAAAAGACCAGAAAAGCTACGAGGTTATTCAAAAAGTCATTGAAGGTTGGTCAAGATTCTCATTCCTTATCAATGGATAGAATATGTGTGTGTGGATGTGTAAGTATCTGTCCATGAATATATTGACATCATTATCCTTGGGTGATTCCCTTGTGACAGTTGGCCAGGTAGAGAAACTAAAAGTTGATCAATGCAAGGTTTATTTGAGGAAACATGGATTGAGATTGACAGGCAACAAAGATATCCTCATCGAGCGCATTAAGGAGCACCTTGAGTAAATTCGTATTCTTTTCATTTTGGTTATTGGACTTACTGAAAGATATGGCTTTTTCAACCCATTTGCTGCCCATCCACTAACTGTATTTGTAACCTAATTCTCTCGAATTTCAGTATTATTAATGGTGGTGGAGAGAAGAAGTATCCAGCATCTAGTTTTGTATTGAACTGTAAAGGTAATGAGAGAATTTTCATAGCTTATGCATTTATTGCTGCATAACCAAACCAAACCAATCCAAGCCTTATGTCCCAAGCCAATTGCTACATATATGATAGAATCTTGGCACCAGTTAGATAGCCAAATCATTCAATAGAGTATTAGTTTTTGTCTGTCCCACTCCACATTTTGCAAAGTGAATATAATCTGTCTCGGACTTCTAAATTTGATTTGTGAATTATCAGCAGTTGATAAGGTTAGTTTATGGGTTCACTTCTGCACTTTGCTTCCATTATTAATGTAATACTCACATTCATCATTCAGCCATCTGATTTATTTCTTATTTCTCTTTTCTTTTAACAGCTTTGACTGTTTGGATGATCAATTAATCAGCTTGAACTTTATTTTGACATTGATTTTTTGACTTTTAAATGGATTATACACAGGTGATGCATGCACAGGAGATATTGTTATGTTTGAACAAAACGTTTATGAAATGTAAGCTTTACTATCTGCTTTGCATTTAGGGACTGGAACACTTCAATCCAAACTTTGGGGTCTTAATGAGATAGTGGAAATAATGCTTCACTGTTAACTATTCAATTGAAGCTTCTTTATCGCTTTCTGACTAATTTTATAATTAGATAGGCATAGATATCCATTAATAGGCAGTGTTGTTAATATGGGTTCCTTCGAAATGTTATTTATGCATATGTCCTCTTGGTTACCAAATAAAAAAGAGCATAGCAGATCCATTGGTGGTGTATTATATTATGGTTTCTCAGGTTCAACATTGCATCCAGAAGTGCCAGTGGGCCTCCATGTGGTACAAGGGTAGTAGCAGGCCGCATTGTGAAAGAAAGCTATGGTGCTGCAAAGCAACAACATACATTTACGGTGAGCTGTAGTTGATCCACCATGGATTTAAAGATCAAAGACCACACATAGCGTGCCTTATTGCTCTTGCATATTATCAATAACATTATTGGAAATGAGTATTTTATTTGACTTATCACATTCATACTGCATTCTGAAGGAGTTTTGGTTAATGCATCAGCTTAAGAGAATCTTCCATGTTTCAAATTTATCTCAGAATATCCTAACACATAAGTCCGTCGCACTATTTCTTTGAATTTTTTGATACAAGTGTAAGCCTTCTTGACAAAATGGTTAGCATAACTTCCAGCTGTTTATGCTCAGTTGGCAAACCTATCCCAAAACTTTGGTAGTAATTGGGGATTTTGACTACATGAGAAGTGCGTAAAAGAATTGGCTAAAGTACAATCTTCATCGTGGACGAAATTTGTAAATAAACGATGGTTTATACTATTGCGTCATGTTCACTAGATGCCTTTTTCTTTATTGGTCAGATTGAAGTACTATGGAGCAAGGGGGAAAAACCACTCAGTCCTCTTCATCCCCTTCTCATTAAAGGTAGAAACCTTTACAAGTTGAAGACAATGAGACAGGTATAATAGATATAAAACATTACTGTCCTGTCATTTATTTATTCTGTAACATTGCGTTAGCTGACCCTTACTATCTAATCCAGAGATGGGAGGATGAAGGCAATAGACAGAAAATTTTGTTCGAGAAGCATGCTAGAGGTTCTCTTGCTAGATCAAACAGGGAAGCACGTATTCAAGAGAAGGAAACAAGAAAGATGTTAGGGGCAAATAGGTAGTGGAACATGATTTCACATGTAACTTAAATTGCACAGGATTTCTACTGTATAAACCTTCTGATATTTGACAAGTATTTCAGTTTTATATAGCTCCCTGAAGCTGTTCATAATTCAGGGTATCAAGAAGGGAAGATCAAAGAAGAAAACAAGAAGAGAATACAAGACATATTTCTCAAACACTTCATATGAATTCATCGCAATTGGGAAGTCAGCCTCACGAGAAGCAAAAGGACATACAAAAGCTCCATAAAGAACAAAGTTTTCAGCAGAAGGAATGTGATAATTTCATAATCTGGAGAGAAAACAATTCAGTCCTGTGCAAAAGGCCTACTATCTTCCCAATCTCAAATGTACCATCAGAATGTCAGAGGCAGCCTTTGACAAGCATGAACTATAATCCGTCAAGGAGTCTGTGCATAAGGGATAGTGAAGAACAAAGCATCACCTTCAATCCTTCAACGGGTCAATATGGAAGGTACACTCATGACCAAAACTTAAACTTGAATCCTTCAAAGTGTTCATCTCAATTGGGATTTCATGATGAGAACAATAGGATTTATGGCTCCTTAAGGAGTCCAATTCAAAGGCATGGTCATGATGAGAGCCTGAAATTTAACCCTCCAAGTAATCCATTCCGAGGGCACGGCCATGAAGAAAGTAAAAACTTAAACCCTTTGAAGAGATCAATAGAAGTGTGTGTTCCAGAAGAAAACAAGAATTGCAATCGTGCAAGTAGTCCATTCCATAGACAGGATCATGAACCAAGGCAACAACTGTGCCGACACTATGCACAGGGAAGATGCTACTATGGAGATCAATGCAAGTTTCAGCATGGCCACGATGAAAGCAAGAAATTTAATCCTCCACGTAGTCCTTTGAAGAGTTCAGTACAAGTCCGAGTTTCAGAAGAAAGCATGAATTGTGATCGTGCAAGGAGTTCGTTCCATAACCAGGGCCATGAAGAAGGGCAAAAGTTGTGCCGATACTATGCCCAAGGAAGGTGTTACTATGCAGAAAATTGCAAGTATCGGCATGACAGGATCACCAACTATGGTTAAATGAAGGAAGACATGTTGTGACCCATCATCTTATTTACATTTCATTACTGAAAATTTTTTTGAACTAGACAACTAAATTGGGAGTATTTTAAGGGAAAATGACCCAGGATCAACTCTCACTATCTCTGTTATCCTTATTAATTACGTATTTCATTATGTATGCATGGTGTTCTTGTATATACATGAAATAACTTATATACATATGAATTGTGATTTTCTACCTTCGTTGTAAACCATCACAGGTTCCACTACAAAGGATAGTATGACATTTTGCCTACAGATCACGTTGAGGCCAAGGCCCCTCCCCCTCCCAGGATTTTAAGAGACATTTAAGGCCAAACTGCCAACAGATCACTCCTTTGGACATTTTGCACTTTTATCTTTACCCAAATAACCTTGCAACATCCTCATGGGGCCATAAACCATGAGGTGATTTCAGTAATTACCTTTTTTAACTTGTTTTTTGCTTCTTAGTAGCGCTAATAATTAAGTCGAGTTATTCAGATTTAGCTCATTTTTTACACGAGTCAAACTTGAATAATTTTTTTGACTTGTTTATAAAAACAAGCTCGTGAAGCTTGGCTCAAGTTCACAAAATATCAGTCCAGTTAACAAAAAATCAGTCTTACTGAATATGGGGGTGTGGCAGCTTTTGTAGTGCATAAAAGAAAAAAAAAACTTTTTTTACTCAAACCATCTCTCCTTCTATCGTCTATGGAGAGTGATTTCTTCTTCAATAATCAATATAAAGATATTTCTCGTGCAATTTTCGTGTTAATTAATTCTGTCTTATTATTGAAGGGAAAAAGCCTTTGGTTTTATATAGCAAATATATGAGATTTTGACCTCTAAGTACTGGGTTTGTAAGAAATAGTTGAGAAAGTTTTGGTTTGAAATTTAAATTTGAGTTTCTTCCCGTGTATTCTTTTGGCTTTAATTATTTTCAATAGTCAAAAACAAACATCGCCACGTATGATAAAAATTGACAGGATATTGCTCAATCATAGGTAATCGGCTATTGTGCATTTTTGATTTTTTTGAAATTCAATTTTTTTTTTTTTATAGATAAATTTACCGTAATTTTTTTCAATAATATTAGAACACTGTTTGGCCTGGAAATAAAACTGTGATTGCGTCCCACAATTGTAGAGGAGGACATGTTCATGCAACTCTCTTCCTATTTTACAGAGTATGAGATAAAGCATAAACTTAAAGTTCAAGAGAAATTTTGATTTAAAAATAGATATTTTAAGTAGTAAAAATAGGGGTGCAACTTGAATTGAATAACCCGATTTCAACCCAAGCCTAACATGAAAAAATTAGGGCTTAGGCAAAGGTTTTTAATACTTGAGTTGGGTTTGGGTCAATAAACTCCAACTCGAATTCAATTTGGATTGGGCTCAGGTTAAGACATCGTGAACCCGAGTTCAACCCGAACCCAACAAATTAAAAAAAAAATTATATATATATTGTTTTTCATTTTTGTTCTATCGTTCTTTGTCTCTCTCGTTCTCTTTGCCTCTCTCGTTCTTTCAGCCTTTGTAGTTAAAAATTTGGTTGAAGTTATTGGTTGTTAATTTAAGTGAATATTATGTAATATATGTATTAGATTTAGAACAACAAGCCTATTTGGACTCTACCGGAATTGAACCCATAAAATAACCCGAAATCAGCCTGATATCATCAACCCGATCCCGCCTGAATTAAACTCGGGTATTGCTCGAGTTAAGTTCCCCAACCTGAGGTAGGGTTAGGGTTAGGGTTGAAGATTATATACTTAGGGTTGAGTTAGAGTTGATTGTCCAACCCGCCCAACCCACCCGAGTTGCACCCCAAAGTAAAAATAGATATTTTAAGTAATAGAGATGAGTGGTAGATGATCTACTTTTCATCGGACTGAAAGAAGCGTACATGAATTAATTTAAACACATGTGGTAGTTAAACCAAAAAAGAAGAGTTTTTTAGACATATATCATATGAGATCTTTGGCGTTGGGAATATTCTCCCTTTGTTTGCTTTGTAGAGTAGCCAGGTGACCTTAGTTAATTTTCTTGTAGTACTTGTCTCTATCAATGTCACGTGCGTTGCATGGTATGTTTGGCTACCTTTCTGCACGGGATAATTTCTGCAATAGTTTGAGACAACGATCTTCAAGCTAGTGGACCTGAAACAACAGGGTCAGAAAAAAGAAGGTCAGACGAGCGTCCAGCTTATCCCCTCCGAAGCTTAAGTCAGTCTAAGGTCGAAGGGTTTCGCTCAATGAACTATTTTCTGATTCAAGTTTGCGTACCTTTGTCCATTTTCTGAGGAGTATTTATACCTGAATTAACAATGATTGTCAAAGATCTACAGTCCCATCTGGACATCTTACATCTGACACACCATTTCTTGTGCAATGAATGTCTCTTACTCATGTCTCCTCCTCTTAAATGCCAGGAATATGGGATAAAAGATCGGCCAAACGCCGAGCATTTATGTCCCTCCCCCAAATACCCAAATCCCCAAGATTGACATTTGACATCAACTAAGCATTGAATACTCGGGAGAACAGTTCCTCGGGTGAAACCGATCGCATCATCTCGGCGCATCAACCATTAATGCTTAGCCATCATGACGATAGGCCAAGACTCCTAGAGAGCAGGTCCTTGCAGGCGCGCATTTATTTGTCTTGTCACTATCACTCAGTACGCCATAAATGAGGGGTCACATCGCATTAAATACGATGTCAACTGTCGTACTCGGCTGCCCCGTGTCACCATACCTCGGCTTACCTCCTTGGCGTCCTTTGGACATCCCAACGACTTCATTTTTCCATGTGTCAAACTGGGGGCTGTGGAGCCACCTATAGTCCCGCCAACTGCCCCCCAACCGCCATCATTTTCGCGGTGTAAGACAAGTGGCGTAAAGAGATTGTAAGCTCGATCATCACGCCTTATTAATAGCGAGAATTACTTGCACGTCTGGTGCCGCCTTTTTCAAATGCCCTCATGATGACCCAACTTTTTGATTCCCACCCCTTGTAAGGCAGTATAAATATAAGGCATTCATGCCTTCTCAGAACTTTTGCATCCTCAGCCTCTCCTCAGCAATCAGGCCCCGAGCGCTCCCTTGTCTCCTCCAAGTTCTCTTCGTCCTCCGAGCTCCCTTTTTGAAGATCACCTTCCAGTAAGTACTTCCACTTGAGCTTTTTCTTTCTTCATTTCCTCTACATTTCGTCCTTTTAGTGCCCACCAATGGCCAGAACTAGTAGAACCAGGGGGAAGACATCCGTTAAGGCTAGAACTATCCATAAGATGAAGATAACCCAAGTGGCTGATGAGAATATCCAAGCATTTAGGGTTAGGTATCACATCCATGAGCTTGTCTTCGCCTTCCCCTTCAACCCCACTCACCATAGGAGGGATATGGGAATATGGACATGATGCCTTTCTGGACGAAGGCCATCATGGAAGGAGGGTTGACCTTCCCCCTCCATCCCCTGTTGCTAAGAGTGTTGATGTAACTGAAGCTCTTTCCATTTCAATGTGGGTTTAACTTCTTTAGGATTATGATGGGCGTAGTTGCCTTAAACGCTCGGCTGGGGACCAACTTAGGAGTAAATGAAATTTTATTCTGCTACGACCTGAGGCTAGTCACCGAGGGGCGATACTACCTCCAGGCTCGAGACACCTCAATGTATCTGGTAACCCACATGCCCGACTCAGACAAGGGGTATGTAGACAATCAAATCATGCACAACAGAAATTAGGAGAAAGGGACCGAGCCCGAGTATGACGGATTGTACTGCTCCAAAGTGCCGAGGGATGAAGGTGTGTTTTCTTCTTGACTTCTTGATTTTGCTATTCTTGGGTCCGGGGGATGCACTGATTTTGCTTTGCTTTGCTTTTGCAGAAAGATATCGCCGGGACGCTGCTTAATCCTTGAGGTCCCAAGTCCGATTTGCTGACCTACTAAGGGTTTGGTCCTTAAACCCAGTTGAGCGAGCGGCGCATACTCTCCTCGGCTACATGCCGACTTACAGTCGATTCTCCCAGATCCCACCTCCCTTCAACCCTTCTGTTTGGGAAGACCATTACTCATTGGCAGAGGAAGAATCGAGGGAGATTCCGAAGAAGAGTCTGATTATCCTGCTCCCGAGCCCCTTGCACCTGAAATATTTAATCCGCCACCAGTCACCGCTGCTACAATGGAGGTTGCCGCTGCGGCAAGGAGAGTCAAGCTCGTCAGGTTGACCGGGCTTTCTAACACTGCCCCCATCATCCCCCCGTCTAGTTCTCCTCGGAGGCAACCACCTCGCCGCCGCCACATCCGCAATCATTCAGGGACCCAGCCGTGCCGACCAGACAAAGGCCCCAATCTCGACAAGTCCCGCTCCGGGAGATCAACTAAGGGACAGGCGTGCCCAGGATGCCGAACAATTTGAGGAACGCCGTGTGAAGCGGCGACATGACGCCCTGGGCCCGTCTGTCTCGAGCAAATGGGTTCCTCGGGCTGAGACTAGGAACGACCGCCCTATTTTGGAAGCTGACTCCATTCTCTAATTCCCCGAATTGGCGTTTGTCGTTGTGGGGACATTTCAATTTGATGTCGATATGGCTGTATACAAAGGCTATTTCGACAATCGACTTCTAATGAGCACTATCCAAAACAACTTGGTGGTAAGTTTAACACTTTCCCGAGCATTCCTTGCACCCTTTTGGTCGTTCCTTAATATTCTTCCTTTTTCAGGCTAGCCAGTAGGTGAGGGCTATAATTAAGCATTTTTGGAATATAAACAAGAGGCAAAGAACGCCGAGCGAGCCCTAGCTGCTAAGGACGACAATATCCTTAAGGTCGAGAGGACCCTCGGCGACCAAAACAAGCACATCACCGAGCTCATCCGCCATCGAGATGTCGTTCATGCCGAGCTGAAAAAGACTAAGGTGGGTAAAGCTGCGATGATAAAGAAGGCCGAGGAGTACGAGTTGCGAGTATCCTCCTCCGAAGTCATGCTGTAAGAGTCCGAGTCTATAATCAACGATCTTACTGCCAAAGTGGACTCCTTGATAGCAAATAAGGTGGGGAACAAGAAAGGCTGTAGTCGGAATGTCAGAGAGTGTGGGCGGCCACTCAAGACCAAATGGTCCCTGCTTTTGAGGAAGCCAAGAAGAAGGCTTTCAAAGAAGGTTG